AGTCTTCTTTTTTATTGTGCTTTTTTGGAACCATCATGCATTTTTGCCCATTGCCATATTATTTTTCCTTGCTCAACAGTTAGGCGTATGTAAAACTTGCAACCAACACACAATTTCATGTCGAAATCAAACGTTATTACTTAAAGCGTATTTCACGGCGATCATCGCTCAATTTATACTGTATATTTCCATACTCATCGTCTTGTCACTATTATGCTGTGGCGATATAGAAACTAACCCGGCCCCTTTCATCCTTCTGCTAACTCCTCGTCAATCTCCTCTGACGAACCTGTATCTTTTACACATAATAATAATTGTTTATCATTCGTCCACCTGAACGTACAAAGCTTGCGTCCAAAACTAGATGTTCTGTACACCGAACTTTATGAGCATAGTATTTTAGCATTTACCGAAACTTGGCTTTCTGACTCTGATATTGATTCGTCCTTGGATATTTCTGGTTTTCACAGTCCTTTTTGTTACTGTCGTAATGACGCCGTTGGAGGGGGTGTTGCTGTTTATGTAGCAGCCAATCTTTTTGTCAAAAGAAGGTCCGATATTGAAGTTGACGATGTCGAATGTGTTTGGGTTGAAATAGCATCCAAAGGTCAAACATTTCTATTTGGTACTTTCTATAGACCCCCAAATTCTAACATAACTGTATGGACCAAATTTGAAGGAATCCATTGGTAGGGCAATTAACTCTAGTATTGGAAATGTTATTATAACTGGTGATTTTAACGTAAATTTATTGCAACGCAGTCATAATTTTAACTATTTTGATAACATAGTGTACAATTACGGACTTACGCAGTTAATTACTGAATGTACACATTATACTGAACATTCGACATCCTTAATAGACGTTATATTGGTAAATAACGATTTTATAATAGATCGGTCTTATGTAGGGGAATCGTTCCTTGACCAACCAGTAAGATACCATTGTCCCATCTATACAACTCTTAATATTGCTATACATTCAACCGACTCGTACCGAAGGAAAATTTGGCTTTATAAGCATGGAAATTTTGACAAACTAAGTGAACTATTAGAAATGTCGGATTGGCCTCAAGTATATGATGCTAATATCGACCTAGCATGCAAGCGTCTAACTGACTTCATCGATTCCACTTTTTCTTCGGCTATCCCTAACAAAACGGTCAATATGAGAAAACGTGATCATCCATGGATGAACACAAAAAATCAGAAAATTAATATCAAAACGTAAAAAAAATCACAATAAGGCTAAACTTACTGATAGCCAATCTGACTGGTTTATTTTCAGACAAACCCGTAACAAGTGTGTAAATGCCATTAGACAATCTAAAGAATCTTATTTTAACGGTTTTCATCAAAATTATCTGATTTAAGACAATGTAACAAGTCATGGTGGTTAACTGTAAAACTCTTCATGAACAATATTGGTAAATGTGGAGAAATACCAACGATTTTTCATGATAATGTCTATTACGAAGCTGATGTTGATAAAGCTAATGTTTTTAATTTGTGTTTTTCAAGTCAATCCGTTGTGGATGATTCAATGGTTATGCTTCCCCCACTAATAGAATTCCCTAATCGTATTTGTCTGAGTAATATAAATATATCATTTACTGGTGTTAAGGATGCCTTACTCAATTTGAAAACTAGTAAAGCTGTAGGACCAGATCTTATTAGTCCCAAAGTGCTCAAGGAAGCTGCAACATCACTTGCTGAGCCTCTATCTATATTTTTTAATAAATCCTTATCACAAGGAATATATCCATCATCGTGGAAAGAAGCAAATGTTTTACCTATATATAAAAAAGATAGCCGTAATGATGTTAAAAACTATCGACCAATTTCACTTTTAAATATAATTGGTAAAGTGTTCGAGAGGTGCGTTTATAAACATGTTCATAATTTTCTTCTTGATTTGAAAGTAATAACAAAATATCAATCAGGTTTTACAACAGGCGATTTCTCTATTAACCAATTATTAAGTATTTCCAACGATTTTATTAAGGCATTAGATTCAGGTAAAGAAATAAGAGTAGTATTTTGTGATATCAGCAAAGCATTTGATAGGGTTTGGCACAAAGGGCTGTTGTATAAATTATCAAAAATTGGAATAACTGGATCGCTGTTAAAATGTTTCGAAAGCTTCTTAACGAATAGAAAACAAAGACTTATGATCAATAATATTCACTCTGATTGGGCAGGAGTTAAGGCTGGAGTTCCACAGGGTTCAATACTTGGACCTTTGTTGTTATTAATCCAATTAATGACATAGTCAGCGATATCAAATCTTCTATCAAATTATTTGCTGATGATACTACTCTGTACATGATAGTTGAAAACCCCTTAGAAACAAACAACATTATGGAGTCAGATCTACAAAAAAATACTGAATGGTCCAAATCTTGGTTAGTTGATTTCAATCCTAAAAAACCGGAAAGCATGACTATTAGTAGAAAGAGAAACAGTCAACCACATCCAATCTTACATATGTGCAATGAAGAAATATCAGAAGTACTGTTGCATAAACATCTTGGAGTTCTTTTTTCGAAAAATTGCAGTTGGGTTGAACATGTTAAACAAATAATTCAGAAAGCAACGTCTAGATTAAATATTATACGATCTCTAAAATTTAAACTCGACAGGCAAACATTACAAAATATAAATTTTTCGTTTATTAGACCACTTGTAGAATATGCTGATACTATCTGGGATAGCATTCCCAAAGAATATATTTCTAAACTAGAGAAAGTTAACTTGGAAGCTGCCAGGATTGTTTCAGGTGCTACTAAACTTGTAAGCTTAGACAAACTATATGTAGAAGTTGGATGGAATAAATTAATAGACCGTAGACTTAATCATAAATTGTTACAATTCCCAAAAATGTTTTATCAAAATACTCCAGAGTATCTGTTAAATTTCTTACCTAATTCAATTAGTGATGTTCATAGTTATAATACCAGACTTTCTGACCCATCATGTCTGTCACCTATTCTTTGTAAAACAAATATTTATCTAAATGCATTTCTTCCTTCTGCTGAAAACAATTGGAATTCTCTTCCATTACATATAAGAAATAACCCTTCCATTTCCCATTTGAAAGCCTTTCTGAAACCTAATAATAAACCATGTCCACCTTCATACTACTTTCAGGGTTCACGTCTGGGTCAAATCTACCACGCAAGACTGCGTTTGTCATGTAGCTCCCTAAAAGAACTCTTGTTTACGAAAATCATCATACCATCCCCGAATTGTTCCTGCGGTGCCATTGAGAACTGAACACATTATTTGCTAAAATGTAATAAATATACAGCACTTTGCTTTGGTGATGACTCTTACCCATCAAGAAAACACTACGATTTTTCTAGCCGTCCAAAATTATATACTCAAAACCAAAAGATTTCAAATAAACGAATAGTCCTTAACAATTTCTTTTTTTCATATATATATATATATACATATATATATATATATATGTATGTATGGTGTGTTGCATTCGTTTTACTACTATGTTTTAAAATGTATTTGGATTTATATGCTTATTCAGAGATTTTGCCATTGCATTTCTTTATACCATATTATGTCACTAACCCGCCATGATTATGATTGTTTGATAAAGTGATGTGTTACCTTGAAAGAGCAGGACGTACCAGGGATGAGTCGGGAAAGTGTTGTATGGACTTATATTTGATAAGTGTGATGGCTAGAATATGAACTGAAACGTTTTTAATAATCATGGCGGTGTTTTGTGACATACTAACCTTTTTCGAGTGTCCATTTACAGGACTGCTGACATTTTCATCTACTATTCCATAGTAATATTTTACAGAATCGTGTTCTACATACTCATTGCAATAGAGCAATATGATATTACCATCTGATGATCATATGTATATTGATATGTTATTCATTCCTGGTTTCCACTGCATACCAATCCATTACCCCCTCCCCTATTCCCGTAATTATTCTATTGTACATATTACTTCATTCTTGTAGCTAGTGTTGAAAAGCTGATTACTAAGCAGGTTACAAATTTACATAAGTGTCACAACACTTGTTTTCGTTTCCTTTTCTGTTTTATAAAACATGTATTTCGATGTATTGTCTAACAAAATTTGAATAAAACAAAGTTTAAACCAACATGACGCTGATCCTTTTGCATTCATAGACATATGAACGCATTTTCTTATTGTACATATATTGCTATTGAGCATACTTAATGAATTATTTTATCTTTAGATCACAACAAACTCAGTATATTCAACGGAAAATGCATCTTAGTCGTCATATCGATGCTTCCATATAATTCATTGCGAAAAGTGCGATGCAGCTTAGCTTGTTTGACATTGCTATATTGTACTTAGTTTGCATAAGTTAATATTCCTAAACTGTCAGATATTACTTTTCAGTCAGTCAGCTATATAAAAATATCGTTTTCCCATATGTATTTTTCTGATACAATATGTATGCATATAATTCTGAAAACCAGAAGACAACCGTTAATGAAATAAGTTTAAATTTTAACGTAAATCTTGACAGGATATATTTAAAATACTATCTGAACAGTTTACTCAAATAGTGCAAACAACACAAGGTGTTAAATAAGAAAGATTATTTTTAAGATTGAAAAAAACAACAACAAAAAACAACAATATAAACACGAAAGTTTTAAATACATTGGAAAACTACTATAGCTTACCTGTGTTTCTCTATTAAGACACTAATCTTACGTTACTACCTGTATACATCTGTCTGAAATTTCAAAAAGCTTTATTTTTTGTAAAATGGCTTTCTCTAATTGATCTTAATCCTTATCACTGATATCAGATATCTAATGTGATTATTTGAAACGTTCATGTCTAAAGTTCCATTTTATTATCATTATCATTCATTTTACATTTTATATGTCATTATATTTAATTTTACATTTTGTACATTATTATCTGTAATTTAACATTTTGTATATCATAATCTCTTATGTAGCACTTTGTATATTAATATAGATAATGTTGACAATATGATGTTGCCAAATTCTAAGTGATTCGTATCCTACAAACCTACGTTTTCAATGATCCAGTGTTATTTGTGAACCTACCGTTAATATTACTGCCTTTACCCATATAGATAATGTTGTATATACATATAGCAAACAATGCATTGTTATATGATTATATATATTATTATAATGGAGGTTGGATATCGTAATCAAACAGCACAAAGTCTTTAAAGTACATGTCCTGTATCCCTCGAATAGTGTGAGAGGAGACCCCGGCGTAGGCCGTCACCAGCGCGTGCCGCCTCTGTTTATTTCTGTCCTCAATGGTCAGAGGGTGGAAGGCAATCGCCTGTTTAACAACTGACGTAACGACACTCACGTCTACAGTGGGAAGCTGCTCCAGATACTCCCGAGGAAACACAATGTCATAACGTATGATTCCCTGGATTTTAAACACTGTCCAGAGGGATGAGATGTAGTCCAGTATGTTACTGCATGTGTCTAAGGCTCTTTGCACCAAAGTGTCGATCACACCAATCAGAGTTCTCGCGTTCACCTCTCCATGTAACACACGTAAAATTAATTCCCTTGTGCGTTTTGGTACGACGGTTACATTCTCTAGAAGAAAAGTGATATCTTCCGTCAACGTTTCTTGTTTGGCGACAAATTCATATCTCGTGTCACATGGTTCACACAACAAAGCTATCGGAGCAACATGGCGATCTAGATACCCTCCCCGGAATCCTTTAGACAAGATGTGACTGAGGAAACGATCGAAGGTCACATAGTTGCCACATATCAACTTGCTCGAGTTAACATCATGTGTTGGTAGCCTTAGCATTTGTTTGTCAACATAAGCGGAAAACAATCTTCGATAGGGATCTCTGGTAACTAGGACGTTTCTAGCTGGCACACTTTGCCTGTATGCTTTCCGTAAGTAACGGCCAGATTGAGCATGCACCAAACTCCGTTTCATCTGGAATATAGTTTCTATGTCTGTCCCCTCCGGGACCTCCAGGGCGAGGAGAACCAGTGTAAATAGTGTACTCCCGGCCTTTGGAACACTACATACAGAGATATTGGCCTTCCTGGAATAATCATACCTTGATTTGGTTTGGTTGTACCGTAGTCTGTAGCCTTTGACGCATTCGGATTGACAACCATAATACAATCTATCGAGACGCGTCAGAGCTTGACGAGAGGGTCGGTAAAAGTTCTCCGGGACGTCTGATACAGACTTCGCCACTATACCACGTATACTTGTCTCTAAGGGAAATATAATGATATGGATTGTAATTGCTATATCACGAACGAAGACCTATTCCGTCTTTGCGTATTGCAGAGTTATCATCTCTTGAGAGCAGGCATTGATTGTTACGTCATTTGTTTGTGAGAGTAACGTCATCAATTTTTGAGAAAACGACGAAATTTTCTCACACAAACCAATGACGTAACAATCAATAACTGCTCTCAAGAGAATATAACTCTGCAATACGCAAAGACGGAATAACTGTAAGAGAATCCATGGTCAAATGATAGCATGTCCCTCATGTAAACAATGACTGAATGGATTGTCTGCTACTACATGCTCATACACTACTAGATTAAGGAAGAAAATTAAATTATGTGAACAAGTTACATTTACCTCGCAAAATTTATAGATATCTTTAATCTAATGAAAACTTCTACAGAAACAAATATCATCATATCAGGTACTGCCAAACTAACTTAATACATTGTACATATAACTGAATGGTAAATATAACACGAAATATCTACTCCATAAAATGTATACTCAAAACAGAACATGAAATCACAAATGTTGCATCTACTTAACGCAAACATAATGTTTCTACTTTAAGTGTACCTACCACATGAACGATACCTCTGTACGAAATAAGATATTCCGGACAAGGACAATACTAGAGCCCAGACGATAACCGTAACCACAGACGTGTGCAGCGTCCTTCTCATTCTTATCGCGGCCTCGAAACTTATAGAAATGCTCATCAAGTATGAACGTTAATATCCATTCGTGTCACTGAAGTGACACGAATGCAAAGATTCAAAATCTTTTTGTCTGGTTTATGTATGTTTGTATCGGACAAATAATGACAGATGTGTCAGTGAATATTTGTATCAGATGTTTCCTTGATTGTGCTGAAACGTGTACATTATATCGTATGAAAAGAAGGTGACGTTTCTAATCAATAAGATTATCGATAATACTGTCCATCGCTCCATTGTTTTACTTGGGAATAATAACATCAATATCAAATACTTTCTAACACTTAGAGATATTTTATCTTATTATTCAAAAGCCTAAATACTCTAAGAATTTACAAAGCGCACGAACATAAGATTTCGTTATCATATTAACCAGATGTGAAAAGAAGAAAAAGAACAAATAGTGGAACTATTCCAGTAAATGTAACAGCCTGCAGGCGATATACAAGACATGTTGCTGTAGTACACTGAGACATTAACCATATCAATGTGATGTACAAGACATGTAACTGTAGTACGCTCAGACATATAACCATATCATTGTGATATACAAGACATATTACTGGGGTACGCTGAGACATTAACCATATTAATGTGATGTACAAGACATGTTATATTGTACTGTAGTACACCGAGACATATAACCATATCAATGTTATGTACAAGACATGTTACTGTAGTACAGTGAGACCTATAACCATATGAATGTGATGTACAAGTCATGTTACTGTAGTACGCTGAGACATATAACCATATCAATCTGATGTACAAGACATGTTACTGTAGTATACTGAGACCTATAACCATATGAATGTGATGCACAAGACATGTTACTGTAGTACAGTGAGACCTATAACCATATGAATGTGATGCACAAGACATGTTACTGTAGTACACTGAGACATAGAACCATATCAATGTGATGTACAAGACGTGTTACTGTAGTACACTGAGACATTAACCATATCAATGTGATGTACATGTTACTGTAGTACACTGAGACGTATAACCATATGAATGTGATGTACAAGTCATGTTACTGTAGTACGCTGAGACCTATAACCATATCAATGTGTTGTACAAGACATGTTACTGTAGTATACTGAGACCTATAACCATATGAATGTGATGCACAAGACATGTTACTGTAGTACACCGAGACATTAACCATATCAATGTGATGTACATGTTACTGTAGTACACTGAGACCTATAACCATATGAATGTGATGCACAAGACATGTTACTGTAGTACAGTGAGACCTATAACCATATGAATGTGATGTACAAGTCATGTTACTGTAGTACGCTGAGACATATAACCATATCAATGGGATATACAAGACATGTTACTGTAGTTTACCGAGACATATAACCATATCAATGTGGTGTACAAGACATGTTACTGTAGTACACCGAGACATGAACCATATCAATGTGATGTACAAGGCATGTTACTGTAGTACACCGAGACATGAACCATATCAATGTGATGTACAAGACGTGTTACTGTAGTACACTGAGACATTAACCATATCAATGTGATGAACAAGACATGTAACTGTAGTACGCTCAGACATATAACCATATCATTGTGATATACAAGACATATTACTGTGGTACGCTGAGACATTAACCATATCAATGTGATGTACAAGACGTGTTACTGTAGTACACTGAGACATTAACCATATCAATGTGATGTACAAGACATGTTACTGTAGTACACCGAGACATTAACCATATCAATGTGATGTACAAGACATGTTACTGTAGTACACTAAGACCTATAACCATATGAATGTGATGTACAAGACATGTTACTGTAGTACACTAAGACCTATAACCATATGAATGTGATGTACAAGACATGTTACTGTAGTACACTAAGACCTATAACCATATGAATGTGATGTACAAGACATGTTACTGTAGTACACCGAGACCTATAACCATATCAATGTGATGTACAAGACATGTTACTGTAGTACACTGAGACATATAACCATATCAATGTGATATACAAGACATGTTACTGTAGTACGCTAAGACATATAACCATATCAATGTGATGTACAAGACATGTTACCGTAGTATACTGAGACATATAACCATATCAATGTGATATACAAGACATGTTACTCTAGTACGCTGAGACATTAACCATATCAATGTGATGTTTAGTATCAATGTTTCACGGATTCATGTACCGACCTCCTCTTCTGTCTTCTTTAGAGTACAAGAGCTCCATCAATATCCTGATGAGTATGCCCCTGGGAACCTTTGCACAGAGGCGTGAAAAGGGGGGTTATTTACAGAGATTAGATAAGGTTTTTTGAGCAGGGTATAAGATAAAAGCTGGCGTATGCTCTAGCGTGTGATGAGGGATTCAATGGCTGCATAGGGTATTATGTGTGCCTTGAAGTCGTCGAATGTTGTGGATTGTACTGCTGCCATGGGATGGAGATTCCATTGTGTGATTGTGTGTGGGAAGAATGAATATTTGTAGGTGTCCTTTGGAGCAGATATGTGTTTGTATGCGTAAGGGTGTGCAGGTCTGGTTCGAGGGTATACAGATGTGAGTATAGATGTTGGCTATATTACTACAATTTGGTGACATTTTTATGTAAAAAAGGATAATTCTTGTGTGAAGACGTCGTGTTTGTAGTGTTGGCCATTGTAGTTTGTAGATCATGTCTGACACTGAGCTGGTGTGGTGATGTCTGTCTGTGATGATCTTCGTTTTGTTGTTTTCTATTTGTTGAATTTGGTTTTGTGCTGTATGGGTCCCAAATGGAAGAGCAGTATGCAAGTTTTGGTTTGACTAGTGCTTTGCATGCGTGTTCATTTATATGTGGTGAGTTTATTTTGAAGTTGCGCTTCAGAAAACCTAGTGAACTATTGGCCTTGGCTGTAATGTTGTTTATATGTTTGTCCCATCGTTAGTTATTTTGTAATGTTAAGCCTAAGTATTTGCTAGATTCGACTTGGGGTCATGTTATTTTGTTGCGTATCGGTGTAATGTTGAGTATGTTGTATTTGTCAGGGTGAGATTTTACAAGCCAGTCTGTCTCCCATTGTCCTGCTGCGTCGAGGTCATGATGTAGTTTTGGTGTGTCTTCTTTGTTGTTTATCGTCTTGTTTATGATGATGTCGTCTGCAACGAGCCTCGGTGTACTGTATTGCATGTATTCGTGGAAGTCATTGATGCAGATGAGGAAGAGGATGGGGCCCAAACAGGATCCTTGAGGGATCCCAGGGGTCACATGTATTTTATCTTATTGCTTGCCCTCAAGTTCTGCTATTTCGGTGCGGAATGAGAGAAAGACTGTAATTCATGCGTGTGTGTTCCCTGTTATCCCGTAATATTTGAGTTTGTACTGTAATCGTTTATGTGGGACTTTGTCTAAAGCTTTGGCAAAGTCCATTATGATGATGTTTGTTGATGTTGCTGTTTGATGCGAGGTCGTGTATGAATGTGGTATGCTGTGTTTCGCAGGATCTGGAGGATCTAAAGCCGTGTTATATGTCATATAATATGTTGTTGTTCTCCAGATGTTGTTCACTGAAGCACTATAATTGTATATGGTCCAGTTTATCCAAGATCATCGGTAAACTCTAATGTATATAGTGGTCTTGTATTTCGTACGAGACACCAAGACGGATGCCATGCGTGGTGCGGGACACGTTTGTTCAGCTGGAGTACATCGATTCGCCTCCATTGGGTGTATGGGTTCTTCAGGTTAGTAAGTATAAATTGTAGGAAGGCTGTGTATGTATCGCAACAAGTAAGAGTTTATGAGTGAAGTTTCGATGACTTGTACGATACGTTCCCTGTAACCTTCATCAGACAAAAGACCAGTGAAGCGTAGGTACGTGTAAAATATGTACAATTTGGTAGTAAAAAATCAAATCTCGATTCAGATACGCTGTTGTCATCTGGATAACCGAACCACTCGGTAGTGAAGCGGTCGTAAACCACTGAAACAGACAAACGGATACGTTATTGTAAAACCGATTCATTGGTCATTTGTCTGATGTACTAGTATTTGTCTGAGTCACTGAAAAGGCACACATAAACACGTACTGGTTGTCATACTTAGCCTTTCTAAATGTCATTCCTTCTCCTTTTGAAGCTTCAGAGGTTATGTTGATTGTTGCTATGTAACGACTTTGAGGTCAATTTCCAACCTTGTGTATTAAAGATATATTACGTTTTTAAGACTTATTCGATTTTATTTACTGAGCGAGACTGATACCATATGGTGATAGTGAATGTTTTATTTAAAATGAATTTCGTTGTCAATATGATCCTAACGTCATAGTGACAGCGACCTAGATAGCACTGACCCCTCATTTGAGATTGCTATTTTGATTAGAGACTATACATAGTCAAGAAATAGGACAAGTGGAAAATATCATTGCCAGTCAAATTTGAGCTCTGGTTTACAATTGTCAATCATGTTTGAAATGCAGTTGTCAAGTGTTTCCGTATGTCCGCCTATAGGAACTGAAATGTGGTTATATAAAGAAATCGATGTTAAGCAATCTAGGAAAATCCGTTTAGTTGGACTTTGAAAACAAAAGCGTCTACATTTAACAAGAAAATAAACCGTCTATACCTCCGCTACAAAAGGAACATTTCTCAATTTGGTTGTTTTCTGAATCGAACTAACCATGTAATCAAGCATCATAAAATGTGAAGTTTTACAGCTGGTGTGTCTGTATTAGGTACACGTAGCGCCATGGAATGAGAAACAGAAAACATAGAACAGGAACAGCATATAGGGGTGTGTATAGACATAGGTTTTTATTAACGAGCAATATATCATCGAACTATCAGGGACAGGCGGATTCATAATTCACATGTTCTCTAAATAGAAACATCTGGACATTTCAAGATAAGTTCTTG